CATTCCTAGACCTTCCCTGTGTGGATACCCACAGTTCATATTTTTCTAAGGAGCCTTTCCATTCCTTACCAGCTGCACAGTTAAAAGATTTTCCTAATATCTTGCCTGAAAATTAAGCCAGTTACTTCTTGTCCTACTTCCAGTGGACCTAGGGAACAATCGGTCATTATGTCCTTCAAAAAAATTATTTCTTTTAGTTTGAAGAGTCTTGGCACATTCCCTCAAAACCTACTTTTCCCTATTCAAAACAAGTACCAGTACTTCAGGCTTTCCCTGCAGGCTTGCCTTCCTGCACCTCTTAACACCTTTTTCCTCTGTATGAAACCCTGTTATTAAAGAAGGTGCCCAGAAGTAGCACACTCCAAGGAATAACCAATATCCAGCTCTTCAGCTCTGCACTCCTCTGCAGCAGCATCCCAAGTGCCATCCCATCCATCAAAGGCAGGATGCTATTCACTCCTCAGCACAGCACTTAGGGAACAGCACTGCACTGTGAAGCTCATCATGCTGGGACACAGGTGGAGAGGCTGGAATAATCTTTGGAGATGCACGAGGCCACTTGAACCCCTGTGGCTCCTCTGGTTTGGCTCAGCCAGGGCAAAGCCAGTCCTGCAGACACAGCCTGGTGGGACTCCCTGCACAGCTCCCAAAGCCCTGCCCTGTCAAACTCTGCTGCAATGGTAAATTGTTGCTCCAGGCACACAGAATTAATACACTTATAAAAGTTAAATCCCAATCCAAAACAGACAAGCTATTACACCATGAGATGTGGAAAGACAGATGGATAAATTTAACTTCAGAAAGACAGACGGAACAATTTAACTTCAGAATAACTAAGTTTTCTCCAAGAATTTTGGCTCTTCCTCATGAAGAGTCAGAGTAATTTCCTATAAAAGCAGTACCCAAAACTTACTGTACTTTTAAAGATGTGAAGCCAGCTTGAAAACACTATGCATGCAATTAGGTAATGAAAACATCCACTAGATTTTTTAAACCAAATTTCTAGAAGAACTAAAAAGGACTCTTGGCATAAGCCCTACACATCACTGACACCAATGTAAATGGCACTGTCATTCTAAAGTTAAAACCCAAATGTAAATTTAAGTAAAATCTTAGCAATAGTGTAACACTAAATCAAATGAGGTTTTTATGAGCCTGCTGTATTACTAAGTGCCAAACATGTGTCATTCCACATAATTTCAAAGATATCACTCCAAAATAATTTGCAGACAATTAAAGAGGAGACTGTTATCAGTCATCAATGCAGAGGAGCAGTAACCTCTTAGAAATAGTTCCTATTTAAAGAAAACCACAACCTTCAATCCAACAAGAAACAGCAAAAGATAATTAGTCTGCATTTATAATGACCCAAAAGACAAATGTATACAAGTGAAAGGAACACCTAAAAAAATATAATCTCAAAAGAGTTTTTGGTTTTAGGCAATAATACATCATGTTTCAAATTACATTATAATCCCAGGCAAAGTATACATGGGCCCAGCAGCAAAATCTTATTCTTTGCTTTTAATCACTGAAGGTAAATACTTTTATATTCGTAGATATGACATGAAAGAGCATCCAGAATAACATCAGGTTAAGTTTGGCAGCATACCACGCTCCTCACCTCCATGGAAATAAATCTGCCCAGAAGGCAAGGAATTCCAGCTTTTCTCAACCAGACTCTTCAAGAGGGCTCCTCCCAAGTTCAGTGCACAAGAGCCAACATAATCTTGTGATTGCAATTATTGTGACAGGCATTTGCTGTTACTTCAAATTCCAAATGCAATATTTTTTTTCTTTTGCTATGGCACCCTGGAATTACCTTTTAAAACACACCTCATGTCTTCCACAGTGCTCTGTGGGTGTGCACCCTGCTAGTCACTATTGCAGGAGCAGGTACACTGGGCAGAACCTGTGTGTTTCCAGGTAGCTGGAATTTCTACCTGCTGCATATGTTACCAGCTCAGTGCTTAACACAACCAGATCTTAGAATCTCCGTTTAAAAGCATAATCTTATTAGCAACAATGCAGTTTTAAGTGGGATTGTGAACTCACACCAAATACAAATGGGACTATGAACTTCCATTTGCTTTACTCTTGCAGCACAACAAAACTTGCGATTCTTCAGATGACCATCATATGCTGTCAATGCCAAATCTTGCTTGTTATTTCTCAGCAAGAGCAGCAGCATCTGCTCTCTGGTAGGCTCAACTGGGAGCAGAACAGCTGGGAGCAGCACAACTCCCTTAAGCACCACAACAGGCAGCTCCAGCAGCTCCCAGAGATGTCACATGGCTAAATTACTTTATTCCCTGCCCCTTTTAGTTAACATTTTTATGTATGCATCTTGAGGCACAAACAGAGCTTGGAACCTTGGTGGTCAAACCCTCCCCCTGCTGCACAGCCATGGTCTCCACTGCCAGAGCCTCACCAGTGGTCAGGAAAAGCTCAGACAGTTTCCTGCAGACTTAGGGACCATTTATGGACAAGAGTCCATCTTTCCCATCCTCTGTCTTTTTTTTTTTCCTCTTTTGGTGGTGTTGGTGTTGGTTGATGACTGCAGTTGTGCTTGGAAAATAAATAACACAGCCCTGCTCAGGAAACTTCAAAGTGATTCAAAGCAGGCACCAAATAATTTCCTTGTGTGCTTCTGCAATTTATTTTTTTTATACAGCCACAAAGTAGGATATTCAGCTTCATCTATGGAAACACTCTGTTCATCAGTCTTCTGCATTAATTCAGTGATGTAAGTGTGAGCAGAGCTATAACCTAGAGGCACTAGGAAAACAGAGCAAAGTCTGGCCTCACTGATTTTTCCTTGCTGCCATCCTGCTGGCTCACACATCCCAATATAGCCCAACATCATCCCCATAAACAGCAGGAGAGAAAAACTCTGGTACCTGAAAGCCTCTGCAGGCTTTAAGAATGGACTGATAATAATTTATGGACAGACAGAAGACGCTGAAAACACATAAAAGCCACAGCAAAAAGCAATGCCAACCCGATGTAGCACAGATCTGTGCAAGGAGCCTGTCCCTCCCCTCCAGGCAGCATTTACAGCACACTGGCAGCAGTGGCACTCTGAGGCCTTTCTCCAGAGCTGCTGGTAGAAACTATGGACTATCAATTTAAGCAGCCTTTTTTGGTAAATGCCCCCATCATGTCATACAACAGTCAAAATTATCCTTGTGATGTGAAATACCATGTTTCTTGATTAAAAAAAAAAATTACAAATCACCCATTAAATTTTTTAGCTGTTGTGATTCTTCTCATGAAAAAGTTTCAGAGCACAGACCACTTCTGCTTCATTTTACCATTGCTTTTTCCCTATATTTTTATTTAACAATTCTATTCCAAAGTACAGTTCTGCTATCCCCAAGCCCTATCTTTAAGTAGATTTTTCTTAGCCTGAAGCAACATGTTCAAGACACATAGCTGAACACAGAAGACACTTGATGGTCTCAAACCTAACCTGGCAACAACTCCACCCTCTATTATATATACTAATATTTTTCCTTTGACTAAACTAGAGGGATTCAAATGAGACCTCAGCAGCAACACGCCCAACACCACAAACCACAGCAGTGATGTTTCTTTCACACACTTCACCTGGAGGTGCACCAAAACACACTTGGGCTTTCCAGAGCCTCGAGCTCTCCAACACTGCAAGGTCCTGCCAGTTCTCAGGTAAAATGAGCAGCCTCTCCTCTGCTTCCCCACTAGGATTTCCTCAAAAATCATTAACTAAATTAGGATGTGTTTTAATTTTACCCCTTGTTTTTTGATGCCATTCTTAGGATATTTTCAATAGACTCTGAATCCACAGGATTACAGGCTTTTCCCTCCATTAATGCTGAAATTCTTCCACGATTAGAATCACTAAAAAGCTCTGCTTTAGGATAACATCAAGTAACAGAGCATCAACAACAAAAGTCACAAAAACTGACACTGCAAGACCTAGGTACCTCAAAGTGGTATCAATACCACAGCACAAAAGAACACCACATAGTTATTATTCTGAACAAATATGTGGCAATGTTGTCCTCATCACTGCGAGTGGTTAAGGAAGCATGGTGAAGGATTATCTAATTTCTTCTAAATCTTTCAGAAAACCAGAGGCAGAAAGTAGCAGTTTATTTTTGACATCAGTTTCCCACAGAAGATGAGCCAAACGTAGATGTCAATCTATATATGAGTTCATTGTCCATCTCCTCATGAAATAAAAGAATAATTACTGGGGTGGAACAGGCAAAGAAAAGAAAGCAGATTTGCAGTTGACACCACATGCATGACCTGTGAGAGATCAATAGTCAGGTAGTGGTTTGGATGTTAGCAAGTAGTCTTTTCATCAAGGCAGTAAGGATAAGCTTTAGTCATTTCACAGAAAACTGGTTTATTCTTGTTGGGGCAAAGTTCAGAAATAGTTTTTTATTTTGACCACAAAAGTGGTCTCATCTCTAGCAAAATCCCGTGTGCTCCTACTACTGCACCCTGACAGCAGGAGCCCAAAGTACATAACAAACTACTCTTTCACCCCCCTCAAAGCTGGCTCTTCTCACCCTGAAACTCCACAAAATCATTGTCTGTATCTCTAAGCAGTTCCTGAGAGCGTGGAATCTGCCAATATCTAGGACGACACGGAGATCAGTGAAGAGGGCAACATCCCTCTACTGGCCACACGCGCGGCTGAATGGGGGTGGAGGTAGCACGGGCACTCCTCACTCTGGCTGATCTCCAGATCCTAGTGAGGGTCCTCACTCCCCCAAAAGGCTTTACACTCGTTGCAGGGTCGAACCTTGTCACAGGTTCATTTACCAGCTCGTTCACTAACTCACCCACTCTCACGCAGACAAGGTCCTAGAACCATTTCTTGATGCCTTTCTGCGAATGAAATGGCACTCGGGCGCCAAGAACGCCAAGGGCCGTGGTCTTTGCCCAAGTTTGATCCTGTTGGGGATGCGTCAGCCTGCCAGCCCACCCGGACTCGGGGTCACTGTCACCTTCTCAGACCGACCTCTCTCCTTGTCCAGTCCCCCTCCAGCACACTCGCCCTTCCCTGCAGCTGAGCAGCGCTGCTCAAAAAGTCGCTTGCCCACTTCCCAAGAAGTCGACATCCCACCACACCGTCTCGCTTCACCACCAGCCTCCCGGCCGCCTTTTCTCAGGTACCAGCCCCATCTCCGCCCCGGGTGCCCGCTCGCCCTCATTCCCTCGCA